GGTGTAGACATCGCGACACACTCTCAAGCAGGTGTTGGTGTTCTGACAGAAGGGCGATCCCGTATAGTTCACAGAGCTCTTGAATAGAAGCCTGTCAGCGGAGGAATAGAAATGGTAGACTGAAGTTCCAAAAGGAAGAAACTTTTACGTTCGCACAATTCTGAGGGAGAAGATGAATCAATCCTAGAGGAAGTGAAAGATGCTCCGTACTAAGCAACCCATAATTCTACATGGAGGTGACAATGCACGTCAGTGCATACACGGGATAGTCGAAAGGTGTTACTGGAAAGAATGGTCTCAGCGATGTCAAAAATAGCTGCATGAAGCGGTTTGCGATTATGTGCAAGGAATAAACCGTTTGTTAAGGTCATTTCGAAGCATCGGAGATTGAACCAACATACCTGCTATTCTGCGCCATTCACGCGCACAACCTACAACAGCTGTCAAGTTGCTTTTGTATTCCTAATTCACCTCATGCGGATCCTCCATAAACTTCACCATTTCCACCTATGCGCTTGTACATTTTAGTACAGATAGGTGCTGCGTCATTATGTCAGGCTACAACACCATTTTTTCTAGTTTCACTCTGCCCTCGAATTCATTTATACAATTTAAACAGCATTCACGATGCATGTTAATTTTTGAACTTATTTTAATGGTTTTGATATGAATCAGCTGACTCAGAAGCGTACATTGGAACATAATATCAGGTAAATTCTGTATGGCTTCATGGCGATCTCTTGCAGCTTGTCATTGAGACATTGCATGCAGGGGAAGAATCATGTAACATTGAATTTCAGTTATTCTCTAACAACTGTTCCCTTGCAACTCTTCTGTTTTTCTTAACTGGTTGCTGATTGCGTCTTTTATTGTCCATTTACGGTACCCGCTGTGTCATCTCAGTTGAAATGTTCGAGCGTCGACTAGATAAGTACTAACAATACTTTTCTTTTGCGCCATATGCGTGGCTAGAAAAGAACGGCAGGAACTATTTGATATGTGTTGGCTTGTGAGATACTTGTGTAACATCTCTGCTCACCTTCCTCTTGATTAGTGCATTTAGAAACGCTCTAAATGCTTCGTTAGAGCACTTAACAAAAAGTAGTACTTGTAACTGTCCATTCAGTGTGTGAATTATTTTGGGAAT